GTTATTTATTTTATTATTTATATTTTAAACAAATGATATTATATTAAAACATTTCAATAAATTATTAAATTTGCTCCTAACGCCACCTACAAACGTATTAACGTTGTTTACTTCTGACAGACCTGTCAAATTCAGGGCCCACCTGTGCTGAAGAGCACTCTAATCATAGGTTCGACTCCCATCGGCAGAATGGATGAGTGGATGAGCCCTGTCTTGCCAGGGCGTCAGCCCGTTCGGTTTCTTTCACAGCTGTGTGTCCCGTTACAAGTGTAAGTGCTCGTTTGCACTCAACAACCAGCTTAGAGCTGACTTTGGGCACTTCCAAAGCACTTATTGGAAACTTTGGACTGGGCATCCGTAACGAGAGAGGAGACTGATTGGCTCAATTCTGTCAAGAGGCCGATTTTATTGTCGCGATACTTATTATGATCTGTCGCCCAGGAGATTCTATACATGGAAATCTCCAGCATACAACCAACATAACGTCATCAGAAACCAAATTGACTACCTTCTCATCTGCAAACGATACCGAAATTCCATAAAATCAGTAAAATCATACCCCGGAGCTGATGTGAGATCAGATCACAACCCAGTTGTAGGAAGGTTCAGAATTAATGTAAAAAAGCTTGTGGCTAAAACTAAAGTAGAGAAGATACAAGTATTCCGTTTGAGAGATCCATCAACAAAAGAGCAAGTCACACTAAAAATTAAAGAAGAGCTCACCAATCTTGACCGCAACCACACGAATCTTTGAAAGTTTTACTTTATAAGTATATCGTCGGCTTACTTGTAAAACCTTTAAGTCCAATTTTCGATCATTTAGTGTATTTTTACGGAAATAATTTAATAAATCCCCTCTGACATAACTGTGAATAGATTCTAAGTCTAGACCAATCGGAACTCGTCCCTGGTGGTAATACGAGGAACTTCTATATCTCTCAGTCTAAAATAGTTCTAAAAACCTTCTATGTCTGTGAGTGGTCTGTGAAAAGGTACTGACATTTGGAGGTCAGAAAGTAATCGGTCTTAAAAATTGCTGGTTTTGGCTAGAAGTGTTTAATGTTTTCCAGTTAAATTTATACTTAAATAGTTAGGAATTTATGTACACTGTTTTTATTCCAATTTAATTAGCAATAATTTTTAAATGAAATTCTTAACCTGTTGATGTGGACTTACACGGTTTTCATATTAAAATTAACGTTAAAATATTGACTGCTAGGGACTTACATGGTTTTCAGACTAAAAGTAAAGTTAAAATATTAATTGAAAAAACTTCAAGAAATCAAATTATACATTTTTTATGACTTATGAGGTGTTATTTAAAGAAACTTAATTATGGTTGTTATGTTATTTTAGATGGATTCCTACAAATCTCGGACAGAGCAGATATTAGAATTAGTTGCCGCGCCAGAAGTTTCACCGAAAGAAAATAACAATTTTGATAACATTGATCATAATTGAGGAAATATTTTACCTATTTTACCATTACTTCCAAAGTCTATTGATTAGAGACATTGGGAAGATACAATTAATAATAATGATCTGGCCAAAGAGTTTATTGACTTACCTACCACTGTTAAAGTCCAGTGCGCACATAATGCAAATGATAATTCTATTACTATCTATTAAAAAAAATAGTGGTGAGTAAACGCACAATTTCGTTAGCAGGTTTTTTCTATTAATTAATTTACTATTTCAGAAGAGCAGCATATTTGTTTAGAAAACGCAGTGCAAACTTTTGATGCTCTCAATGAGTTTTCAGTCGACAAAAATAACATTACGAAATATAATGAACTTGATGATGAAAAAGAACCTCTCTATTCTCCTAATTCCGATTCAGAGGAAAATTCTTTAAGTGATTCAGTCTCCTACCAGAATAATGTTACCAACTCAGAAGAAAATAACTTCTGAGTTTAAGTCCAAAATCTGGACGATTAACTGTCCATGACATCTGATGTATAAATACTCCAGTTACTGAAATATGGTAATACCCCCGAATTTTTTATAACTGCATTGATTTCTTTGAAAATTTCAAATTAAGCTTATCTTACCCTCCACTTTAAAAGTTATATACGCTCTAGGTGCGCTTTTTGTTTTTAAGGGGTGAAAACTACCCCTTATTGAAGAAACTGGGAAAAACACGGATTGAATTATTTTATGCACTTAAATCTTGTTTATTCGCATAAGGTAAATATTGTAATGTGTTCTCTAATATGAAAATTAATTATTCACAATTTTCAACCCTTAAAACCCTTTAAAAACCCTTCAGCGAATACTTTTTATAAAAATAATATGAAAAAAAGTCGTAGCAGCTTGAGACATTTCAATTATGTATTTAAACACAAATAAAAATTAATACCCTAGCTATACAATAATATTTTATTTATTGGAAATTTTCAACCCTTACAACCATCCTTATGACAAAAATGAATTAAAACTGAATTAAAAAATATTTTTATCGGTTTGAAACATTTCTTGAGTGCATTTTATTTAACGAAAATTAATTTTTTTGCATATAAAATAATTTTTTATTATAATTTCAACATTTCAACCCTCACAACCACCCCCTTTGTCAAAAATGAATAAAAAATATTTTTAACGATTTGAAACATTTTTAGAGTGCATTGTTTGTAGACAAAAATTAATTTTTTACTTATAAAATGAGCCTACTTTTTTCAACCCTTACAAGCACCCCTTTTGATGAAAATAAAATCCTTAAATCCTTAATTTAGACATGGACATAAATAGAAAAAATTTAGTTTATAATATATTACAATTTTTTTATTTTCCAAAAAACTAAAAATAAATAATATTTATATAAAACGAGGTATAAAATAAATGAATATCTATTCATCAAGATACATATGTATATATTAAATGTCTATAAGTTCTATCGAAATGCTCCAATGCTCCAAATTATAAAATTTTTCCATTAGCTCCAAAATTTGTTCTAAAAAGTACTATTGATTTTTTTTACAATAACTCGGTTAATTTTGATGCTACAACATGCATAAAAAAACGATTTTACATGTAATTTAGCGGGCTATAAGTATAGGAATGTTAAAACATTCTAAAATCCTTCATATTTAACGGGTGAAGAGTCAAATGGTCGGAGGACCAGCGGTTCATGCGCTATAAAGCAAACTTCAACCAACTATATCAACCAACTAACTATTTTTTAAGCTACAAAAAAAAATAAAAAATGAAAATTTTTGTTGAAAAAAAACCTATTTTTTTGTATTGTGTCATCTTTTACGTATCTTTTATAGAATTGAAGTTATTATAAAAAAAAAGATTTTTTTTTAATATTTACAAAAAAAAATGTAATCATACTTTTTTCAAAAACTGGGTATTCTAAAGTGGCTAAACTTTTGGATCACACAAAAACACTAAAATAAAGTGAATTCTATAAGGACAACAAGTTATTTCAATCCTAGTGAACATGACGTTAGTTTTTGTTGCGTTTTTTTTTTACAAAAATTTGAGAAATCCATCGTTTTTTGATCGTATCTCACGTACAAAGGTGCGAAGGACTTTTACCACCACTCATTTTAAAGGTCTTTTCAAGCTCTTTTAAAAATATTAAATGAGTTTTTGTCGAAAAATGTACCCGTTTTCCGTTATTTAACGTTAAATTCTCGTATTGAAAGACAAAAACAAAAGCAAACCTTCTTTGAACAGCCATAACTCAATTAATACTGAACTGAAACTATTCATTAAAAAACGCCAATCTTTTTGTTTTTTTATGAGCTTTAATTTTAGTGCACTTTTTTGATAAAACTCTTAGTTTCAGAGCTATTCTTAAAAAAACCTTTGAAAAACATGTTTTTTTTTTAACGAAAAATGACACTTTTCAATAGCGAATAACTCAAAAAGTATTAATCTAGCAAACAAAAGTTTACTACATTTTTTGTTTGAAATTTGTTCTTCTATCGAATAGTAATTTTAATGGTAATTTTAAATGAAAAAATTTCCACCCTCGAAAAGGGGTGGCAAACACCCCCAGGGTGGAAGCGCACATGGGCACTATATAACTTTTGTTCCTTTGGTAATTATTTACCAACACACAAAATTTCAAATGAATCGATTCAGTTATAAAGAATTTGGAGATAAAAACCCTTAGTAAGTGGACTAAAAGTATAATCCAGACCTAAGTTTTGAATATAAAAGTAGACTACAAAATGCTCTGCACTTTACTTTTCAGATGTTGCAATAAAAGTAAGATTGGTGCTATTCCGTCTCCTTTATATAATGGCCCGTTAAAAATAAAATTACAAAAATATAATCACTTACAAAAATTAAAATCCGTGATACCAAAAGACTTTCATACATTTTACGATAATTTACTAACTTGTTAACTTTATTTGTTTCACTATTATTTTTTATCTATTAATATATCTATGGTTAATATCTATTAGACAAATATTTCATATGAGAAATTGGATTTTTTGTGTAATATATTTTTTTAAATACACCGGTTGTCAACCAAACGAATTATATTTAAAGTAAATGTCGACTCTTATGTACCTTGTAAGTCTTATTTTTTTCGAATAAATAAATGAAAAGCATCCAAGTCCTCTTTTAATGCCTTAAAATAGTTATATACTGGATTACTGATTTAACTAAAATTTCATTTTAGTGGTATTTAACAAAATTTTATAAAAAAGGGTCCCATAATAACGGTAGTAGCAGTTTTTTTGCTTCTCCTGAAAAGTTTTGCTAGTTAGACTTAAAAGGTTTTATAAGTAAGCCGACGATATATGCTTTTCAGTAACTGATGTTTTTTTTATTCCGATTTACTCATTTGCATCGAAAACGAAAAATCCAACAGTCTCTTAGAAGATAAAAATTTCGAAGAAATGGTACCGAAAAGTCATGTAGACACCGCGGATACATCCTTTGATGAAGTTCTGTACGATTCCCTTCCCCTTCTGTCACACGCTGTACCACGCGCTATCGATTCTGACGCGAATAAGTAGTGGGTCGGATAAGGTATATATATTTATTCTACTCCACAAGTCCACAATCTTAAATTCAAATCCAACGCTAGACTGATCGCGACTGTAAAGATACTCGCGTGTTTCAATTGTCGATAATTTATTTTTTGGAAAAAAATGTGCGTCGGAAAAATTGTTAGTGACATCGAAAGGACTAATCCTGTGATTGGGAAGTTAGAGTTTAAAAATGTAGAACAGGTTCGACCTCAGACTGAAGATCCTCAATCCTGTAACCCCGATAGAGGAGAGTACGAACAAGACATTCTGGGGGTTTCTACCAAATATGTATATTATTTGTTCCAAGTTATTAAGAAATTACAACAACAATTTTTTAAATCAAATTCTTACAAGTAAGTTTTATTTCCAAGTTAATTATTTTAATTGTAGTAAACGTAAATGTATATTGCGTCAAGAGAATCATTAAAAACTTAATATTTTTTATTTTAATAGATTTAAGAGCATTCCATTAATAAGATAATATTGCATATTGTATTAAAACCATCATTTGTGGCCTACGTGATGTTTAGTAATACTTTCATTATCGCATTTAGTGATGGTAATTTATCTATACAAATTTTAAAACAATAGCATACGTCAAGTTGTCTACGTTCGTCAATTAAAAGCCAATACATAATTAATCTCTAGGATCTAGCATAATTAATATTTTGATGAATTTCCTATTTTATTGCATCAAAGTAGTCAGATACTTAAATATTGTAATTAATTTTAACTCCACATATGCTAATTATGATTATATTTTAAGGATTCTGAGGCACACCACACAACCAGCCCATTTCATCACTGCAGTTTCTGTGATCTTCGTAGCATACCTAATGATGCCAGGAAAAACTCACCCTAAAATGTCTCTTCTGTGGAACTTGCTCTATTTGGGTTCCTTCAGCGCTCATTTCGGCGCCCAGATCTGGATGACCTTCGTTTCCGGCTTGGCTCTTTTCTTCTCCCTATCCAGACATACTTTTGGCAGTGTTCAGCAAGTATTGTTTCCTAAATACTTTCTTTTGAACACTGTGCTTAGCTTCATTACTCTGTTTGTGTTCATGAAGACCAACAACAGCGTCCTCTTGGAATCCTGGGAGAATTTGATACAGGTAATAACATAACATACTCATTTTGAAATTTAACAAACTGTCTTTTGAAAAAGCTTTTTTAACTATATTTTTGTTTAAAATTTAAGAGTTAAAATTTTTGCATAAACAAACAAAATATAAAATTACTGAGATAAATATTTGACAAGATTTATTGCCCCTAATAACAACTGTAATTACCAAATGTTTTTATACACCAAAGCAAAAAGTTATTTAAAAATATTGTCAAATTTTGTAAATTAGCGTAATATATTTTACAATATAATTGATTTATCAATCAATTTCTTCTCAGCTGGCGCTTATAATTTAACTACCAATACGTAATAATAAATTATTCCACTTTTCAAAGACCTTGGCCTTGTATCATATGCTGCGTGCAGTTTTTCAACCTTTAATTTCTTTAATAAGCATTTAATTTCACACACCAGTTGTACCTATTCTATGATGTAATGGCTATGTAAGCAAATTGCTTCAATTGCTTTGGAGGCAATGCTAGAGGGCAGCGTCAAGGTTTAGATAAATAGTACAATACATACTAATGCATTGTATGCTGTGAAACAGCTGACAATTATAATTCGTTTTAAACATAATTTATACTACTTCAAAATCAAAAGTTTAAAAAAGATTTGTTTTGAATATTAGTTGGTTAAATATGACGAGAGATTCAAGACAAAAAAACTGTTCTTCGATAAAACTGTTCTTCATTTTGTGTGTTCCTATCTAGATGTTGGCGGTCAGCATACCAATTTAGACTGTTTTACAGCTATTCGAAACAAGAAAAACATTTTATTTGAAAGAAAAATTGATTCTTGTGACATTTTTACATTATTTCCTATTTTTAATAAGAATTAATTATAATTTCAGTTGAAAATACGTTTTATTATTTTGACATTTCCATTTCCACTTCGAAATTTTGAGATCGATTTCCGAAGTGAAAATCGAAGCATCAAAATAAATGTATTTTAAATTGAAAGTGGAAAATTCCCATTAAAAAACTAGATAAGGGCAATTTAATGTTTACAAAAGTTGTTTCTTCTTTACTCTTTTTAATTTACAATTATTTTTAAATACTTTAATAAGTTTAATTGACAGAGCCAGTTGATATTTCACAATTTATTTAAAAAAACTTCTTGGTCAAAAAGATCTTGCTTAATATATAAATTGATTTATATATAATTATTTGATGAGCATTTTTTTTGTTGCAGGCTTTATCAATCTCCTTGTGTTTCCTCGTAGAACTAGTGGTTCGCCTGTACTTCACTCCTCCTCTTTTACGCCTCATTGGAATCAAACATAAGATCGAAAAAGAGGCCGGAGTGGGTCTCGAAGTGGGAAAGTACGACCTGGGAAAGTTGAAAGATTGTCCTTACTACCTGAAGATTCACAAATCGTTTAGATCCATTCACATGACTATCGCCATCTTAAATTTGGTTGCGATGGCATGCACTACTCTGCATCTTTATTATTTATCCCAAAAATTATGTTCAATTTGAAAGGTTATCCAAAATGGTTAACAGACTGACTGACTACTGAGGATATGAACACCAAAGATTGATTGGTGCTTTAGTCTGTGGTTCAAGATGCTTCTTGGCTACTTGGAATGTATGTAGAGATTGTGTTTATCGTGTGTGTGCCTATATTGTAGTATTTGTAATACTCCTACTATAAATTAGAAATTATTTATTTGTTTATTATCAGTATTATTATATTTTGTACTTGATTAATAATATTTATTAATAAATTTTGTAACAAATTATTTGGATTATTATTTTTTACCCAAACTATTCATTCAGGTCTGAAGCTATTTCCTTATTACATCTTAATACAATTTGCTATTTATACAGGAATAATTAATAACGGGAATATCCTCTTCGGAAATCGTTCCCAAAACATAAAACAATAATAAATTAAATAAACTTTGTTTTTGGTACTTTGATAAAAAATTCGTCTAATAATTAAATTGTATCTAATTCATTAATATTAAATATAAAGACATACATATCATGTATTTTAAAGAAGATGACTTTTAAATGACATTTTCAGTATTTTTGCATGTAATTTGTCTTCAAAAAGTTAAATACATGCAATGATAACAGTAAAACACTCCTGTTGGTAATCCCATAGTAAATCATGGGGAAAAAAATAAAAACCAGGAAAAACCATTCTTCAGCAAAATGCAGTAGGATCTGGTTACCCATAGTAAAAAGAGAAATCGATAAAAAGAAAACACCACTATTATTAAATCAATAACATCTTCTTCGGCCTTAAGTAATCCGATTTTGGACATAGGCTTCCTCAAATCAATCCAGTGTTTTATATTTTGTGCCACTTGCTCCCAGTTGTGCTCCTCCGATCATCTAAATGTCATCAGCTCATCTCATTTGTGGTCTTCCTCTGCTTCTCTTTCCTAACTATGGTCTTCATTGTTGTATTTCGTGGTTCCATATTTTATCCTTCAGTCAGGAATTGTGTCCTACGAAGCTTTATTTTAATTTGGCAGCATATTTTCCTGCGTCTTTTATTTTGGTTTTGTGGACGACTTCTGCTCTGGTAGGCATCATCTCTTGGTCTCCATTCCAGTATCCGCTTTGTCCATCTATTATCTGTCATTCGAGCCACGTAACCTGCCCAGTTCCATTTCAGTGTTGCTACTCTCTCTACTGCATCAGCCACTCATGTTCTTTGTCGTAGCTGGCGATTTGGGATCTTGTCTCAAAGTGAAACGCCCAACATAGCACGCCCTTTGACACACGGATCTTTTGAACTATTCTCCTGTTCATGGTCAACGTTTTCGCAGGGTAAGTCAACACTGGCAAAACGCACTGATTAAAGGTTCTTCTTTTAAGGCATATTAGTATATCAGACGATTTGAAAATATGATTCAGCTTGCCGAAGGCTGCCCAAGTCAATCTTATACGACCCATTCCTCTAAAACCCAAGTCTGCGCTTTCCACCTTCGCACAAAGGAAGCCAAGCGAAAACTCCAAATTGTGTGGAATGGTAATACATTAGAACACACAAACCAACCTATATATCTTGGTCCTCTGGACCGGTCCCTCACCTACCGACAACATTGCATAAAAACGAGAGGGAAAGTAACAACTGGGAACAACATACTTAGAAAGCTAACGGGAAGTAAATGGGGCGCACGTCCTGGCGTTTTAAGAAAAACGGCACAGGCACTGTGTTTCTCAAATGCTGAATATGCGTGCCCCGCTTGGAGCAGATCTGCCCACACCAAACAAGTTGATACTGCGTTAAATGATACATGCAGGATAGTAACGAGGTGCATGAAACCAACGACACTTTCAAATCTATATAGAGCAGCGGGTTTTGCAGAACCCTCAACACGCAGAGGCGCTGCAGAACACATAGAGAAAATTAAACACATCGCGGACGATCAACATGCCCTATACAAAGATCGAACACCACGAAGGCGACTAAAATCTAGAAAAAGCTTCCTTGGAACAGTGCAGGATGAACCACCTAAGTATTTTCCACTTCCTCAGGTTCAATGGACTGGCCAGACCCTAGACTTTAAAACGTGGAAAACTTTGAATAGGATAAGAACGGGGCTCGCTACAGTAAAATCAAACATGGCAAAATGGGGAAAAATAGACCAAGATGATGTGAACTGTGACTGTGGAGAAACACAGAATATGGAACATCTTCTTACATGCAGAAACTGTCCTCATCGATGTACCCTTGAAGATTTGTGGCTCGCCAACAAAGATGGAACCGACGTAGCCCGATACTGGGCCGAAATTTTATGAATGACATGTACGGACACGATAAAGTAAAGTTAAAAAAAATTTAAATTCTTCGAGAATAATTTCACTACCCTCCTTCAACATTTCTACAAGTATTCCATCCGGGCCCAGTCAATAGCATATTCTTCTTCTTCTAGTGCCGTCTCCTTTAGTGAAGGTTGGCTATAACCATTGCAAATTCGTCTCTATCTTCTGATTTTCTTAAGAGAGTCTGTGTGTTTAACCCGGTCCAGTAACGAATGTTTTTTAGCCAGGATATTTGTCGTCTACCAGGACCTTTTTCCTTCTATTTTACCCTTCATAATCAGCTGCAAAATCTCGTACTTATCATTTCTAAGAATGTGCCCCAAATATGCTGTCTTTCTCCTTTTAATGGTGGTGAAAATTTCTCTATCTCCTCCCATTCTGTGTAACACCATTTCGTTCGTAATATGATCGGTCCATGATATCTTCAAAATTTTCCTAAAAAGCCACATCTCAAAAGCTTCCAGTTTTCTCATTAAGTCAACATTAACAGTCCACGCTTCGACATCATAAAGAAGAATAGAGTGGATATAACATTTTACCATCCGATATCGGATTTGCAGATTGAGTCTTTGGTTACTCAGAAATTTCCTCATCTTCAAAAAGGATGCTCTTGATTGCTCTATTCTTGAGCGAATTTCTGATTTCGGATTCAGATCTTCCGTAATCCAGACTTTAAAAAATACTACTATAACAAATAATTGAAATCCAAATAACAAAATAACTATACAGAGGAAAAGAATAAATATAACGCACAATAGTTTATTTTAATCACATTTTCACAACTCACAATTTTCTTATAATTCTCTCAATATCCGATTTCCTCCAACAGGAGCTACGTCCTATCAGCTATGCAACTCTCAATACAAACAATATAAACCCATTGAAACGCATGAACACACGCAATTCACAAGAGCTACTACATAATAGAATTGTTGATCATTTCTATAGTAATTACCTGCACCTCACGGCATATACGATGTTTTAGATACTTAATTAAGTAAAAAAATAGAATTTTTATAACTCTTGCTCATCCCAATTCTGTAGACTGTGTCTCCTGCTGTACTAAATTCTATTTTTACTTAAAAGTGTTGTTTCTCAAGTTTATTTATTTATTTATGCCAACGGTAGAACCATTCACAATAAAATACAACAAATAGTAAAAAGTAAAGATCATGTACAATAAACATCAAAACAATAACAAACAAACAAGTAAACAATTAAAATTTGTACATTAAAACAATATATCATATCACAAAAATTTAAAAAAAAGTGTCAGTATCAGATAGTAAGTATCACATATCTAGATTAATAGTCAGATTCTTAAGTTGCCTTTTAAAAGCAATAATGTTTGGGAAGAAAGGATCCAATAGGAGGTCATTGCAAAAGTTGAGCATTCTCGACAAGCGAAAATGACGAGCATAATCAGTTCTATGAAAAGAAATATAAAAGAGTGCAGTGTGTCTAGTTCTGTGCATTGTGTTTAAGTGTACATTGGCTAATAACGAAGGACAATTAATAAAGTTGTTTAGAATTTTAAACAAAAATAACATATCAGCTCTCAACCTGCGGTTCTTCAATGTAGCAATGTTAAAATGACACATTATTATAGAATAATCTATGAAATAATTTTCAGTATTTTTTATATTAATATGTGCTTTAAAAGCTAAAGATCTTAGAAACTTCCTCAGAACGCTCTTCAATCCATCAATGTAGACTTGATGAAATGGAGACCAAACAACAGAGCAGAGCGCAATACGCAAATTGCAGAGAGCAATACAATAATTTGAATACAATAGGTGAGAGATCATGACTGTTACGATAAATAAAACCAAGATTACGAAATCCTGTTTCCTTAATTTTAAGAAAATGGCTTCTTAATGTCAATGCAGAGTCCAATAATACACCCAAATCTCTAATCTCAGTAACTGAATCCAAGAGTACATCATTAAGAACATATCTATTAGTTTATAACCATTCAAGTGTTGTATTTATTACTATTAATCATAAAATTGTTAAACTATATCTTCCAAAGAAATTTTTTTGTTTCTCAAAAAGGAGTTGTTTATTTAACTTTACTAGACAAGTGCAAGCTTGACAGACATTATATTTATTTTACAGTGGAACCTAAACGGCTATTACAACATAGAATCTCTTAATATAGTAATGAAACAATTGTCTCCTCTAATAATCTATTTACGGAAGACATATCTTAAAACCAACAACTTGCACATCAAAAACTATACTAGTTTTCTCAAAAATCACGACACAGAACACGCTAGTGACGGCGCAGGTATTTTTGTCAAAAATTGCGTAGAGGCAAAAAAATTAACCTCTTTTTCCATCTTTATAGAGGGGGATCTGAAATTTTTAAAATACATCTCAGTAAGTTTTGTGCGACTTCAATTGATGTAAACTAATTGTCCATTGTGACATTCCGGTTGGATTTGGTGATTGGTTCGCAAAGCCGCTCAACCACATCGTAGGCTGCAGAACTGATAGAATATGGACCTGGTGGCTGTGTACCGGCATAGATTTCTAATTGATAAGTATAGAAAGTGCGAAAATCCACAAAAGCATATACCTTCAGACCGTATTGGTCCGGTTTGTTTGGAAGGTATATTCTAAAACTACAGCGACCTCTAAAGCTTAAAAGCACCTCATCGATAGTGACATATTGGCCAATGGTATAATATTTTTGAAAATTTTCAACTACCTCTTCGAATACGATTCTAACTGCGGCAAGTTTGTTTACTTGTTTCAGTTCGTCCCTTGTACACATATCATCTAGGCCAGGCGTAAGCACTTCATTCTTCTTCTTCTTAAAGTGCCCTCTCCTCAATGGAGGTTGGCTACTACAATTTTAAAATCTTCTCTATCTTCAGCTGTTCTTATTAGCTGTTCAAAATTTAGCCCTGTCCATTGTCGGATGTTTCTGAGCCATGATAGTCTTTTCCTTCCT